TTAATATCATATCATGATTAATTTTATAATTTTAATCATCAATTATTTAACATTGATACTAAAATAAAAAAAATTACAAAATAAAAAATTTAAGACTAAAATCACATATTAAATAGCTATAAAAGTACCAAACTCTTATTTAACCATTTATTTAACGTAAAACTGAGTTTTGTAGAAGAAATAATTATAATAAGAAAAAAAAAGAAAAAAAGAAAAAAAGAAAAGGGATTCTTAGATGGAACTAGTGGATGACCAAAAGCACATAAAATCAGAGCAAATCTAGTCCAGCTAAGTGATGTGACGCTAAAAGGAAGAAACCAAATGCTACGTGTCCATCTTTCCTTAACTCTCACAGTGGCTTCCACGTGCCAGCTTCATATATTCCTTTTTCTTCTTCTTTATATCCTTTTAACAAAATTCAATTTTTCCATATCTAACATTTTTACACTTTTTTAACCGTCAACTACTTGCTCAGTAAAAATAATAACCATACATTTGTTTTTCCGTTCACATTTCAATTTTATTTTCTTCCCCTTTTGTTTGTTTGCTTGACTCAGGGTCATGCACCAAGAAGAAGATGTAGCTATTAATTATAGGTTGTAACATTTATCCATCCACGACACCTTCATCTTCAATAATACAGCGCATTCTTTCCACAAACATCAAATTCGTATAATTTAAATTTATAAATTGAAATCATAAATTCAAATAACCCCCGAAGCCTGAAAAAGGGTCAATTGATTCTAGGTCAAATAGTACGCACATGGATATCATTCATTTTGAAGGTTTTATTATTATGGTTGTCCTTGTTAAATTATTTTGAGACATAAGTTGTGTTGACTGTTGAGTTACTCACACATTGTCTTGCCTGCTCCTCACAGTTTAGTTTCACACAACACAACAACAGTGATTGCGTTAAGTAGTGGATTAGAAATATCTAAAAGCAAAATATTTCACTTAATTTTTTTTTTTAACCAAAATCAAATTTTCAAACCTATGCTTTAGGTGAGATTTTGTAAAATAGGTTTTGCAGAACTAATTTTGGTTAAATTGATCTTGAAGTGATGAAAACAAACATAAGTGCATCATCAATGTGATTTTTTATATCTAGATAGAAACTCTCAATTATAACTCTTCATGTTTTTTTCTTCAGTGGATGTGATTTCTTGGCCTCGAATGTGTTTCCAATTACACCTTGGTAAATATTTATCTAAAATCATGTTAATTTCTATTATAACTTGAACTTAAAATGGTGTAAAGAAACTTGATTTTATAAGATCCAATGTAAATCCAAACACACCCTTAATACATGTTTGGATATTGGATTCACCTTAGATCATTCAGGATCACATTGAAATATGAATTGTATAAGGTGATTTTAGGAAAATATTCACACTATATAAACAACTTTGTACCAAAATTTCCTACTTCACTTATTTTTAAAATGAAAATAACATATAAATTATTTTACTTCAAAATTAGTTTTAATTAAATTCAATTTTATAAAAACATTAAATAAAGTTGACTTTAATAAAATTTGCTTATATTTTAGTTCAAAAAATTTAAGATTCCTTGCTTATATATAAATCTAAAGAGAGTATTGATTTAAACTAATTACTTATTTTATTGTGTGAATTACAAATTTACTAATGACTTATCTAATTTAATCTAATTATTTATTTATAAATTCATTTAATTAACTATACAAATGAATTGATCATACTCTACATGACATCCCTTGGTTAAAAAAAATCAAATAATTGCGAAAAATTATGTTTATTAATTTAACTGGTTATTGAAACGAATACATTGCATGGGTTAAAAATACCAAAATCCTCTTAATCATAGTTCCAAGTAATGTTGTAGTGGAAAAGGATTTGTGGAGTAGACTAACTTGGTAACAAGATATGGTGTTAGGTTGGTAGGGTAATGGCAGGGCCAAGTTGTTCCCTTTTGCATCCTTATCAATCCTTCTCAGCTTCCATTTCCATTTCCCTTCTCTTTTCTTCCATTCTTTCTCCTACTTGTCAACATGTATGTTGCTCTGCTGTTGAGGAAGGAGAAGATCATTGATCATATATTTAATGAATGTAATGTTTATGATTGACTTCATCAGGATGTGATTTTACATATAAACATCAAAATTAAGAATATTATTTGAATATTTAAAAACCATACTCTTAGAATAATTAATTATTAATTCGAATGATATTTAGAATTTATTATTTATATATACGTTCAATTTATCACACTCAAATAAGATGTTGACATACAAAAGAAAGAAAGAAAGAAAAGATAACCACATGACGATGTGCACGACTCGGAACAATGATTAGTGAGTTTTTCTTTTTTCTTTTTTCTTTTTTCTTTTTTCCTACAAGTCATTCACATGCATGTTGATAATTCACATTGCATGAGTCCCACACCATTCATGTTCCATCATATTCGTCCCAACCAAGTACTCCCTGTAAAGAGAACTGTACCATTGGGTGTTGACAATGGTCGACGATTATTTCATTAAAAAGAAAAGCAACTAAAATAAAAAAAAAAGTATACGCTAGCTAGAAAGAATCATGTCCGATCCTTGATCATAAGGTCCTTTTATCTAAAAGATCTTAAACTAAATATATAATAAAATAAAATTAACCCTTCATTTTATTAAAAATGATATATTTGTATAACATACATATGTATGAATACAAAATATTACATGTGAGACATTCTATTTTCTTTTAGTAAAAATTGAAATTTGCTTGCTTAATTTTAATAAGTTTAAATTTGAGAACTAAAGAAGTTTTGGAGTTGCCAAAATAAAACTGAAACATAATTTAAAAAAAAACCTTAAACTTTTATCATCCTCGTGTTAGATTCATTTGAATTTCATTGGACCCCCCAGCCATCAGCACAAGGAGATCGTTTCCTTGAATACCCTTCAGGTTCATCCTAGGCTTCTAGTTATAAGGGTGTTCAAAATTGTTTAACTGATCAAGTGAAATAGTTCTTAAGAATCAAACTGAAGTGTAAAATAGTTTGAGCAAATTGATGTAATCTACTTTTTTAGTTTTGTATAGTCTAGATTATCAAAATGTCAACTTAAGATTGTGTCTCATCATTTGTATGACATTTTATAATGTGTGTTGTGAATATATTATACTCAATAATAGATTGATAATATGTTAATAATATGTGTTTCAATGTTTTGGTGACACTCTATGACATGAATTATGAAAATGTCGCAATTTATATGATCATACAGTAACATCAATATATATTTGAAATAATTATAAATATCGTGATTTACAAAGAATCAATTAAGAATAATAAGAGTATAATGGTACTTACAGAGAAAAAAAATAAGAAATTATGATTATAAACATGAACTTGATATATAACAAGAGACTCTCAAGTTTAAGAGAAAAATTACACTACCTAAATTTTAAGAGTTTCAAGCTTAGAGGACGATTACGTCTTTTCTAATACATGTTTCATACATAACAAGTTCAATGAACTATTTTTTTTAATTGAAATGAGATACTTTTTTTTTTCCCAATGATAAACATACTAAAAATTAAAATTTCAAGAATTATTACTCTTTTACACAAATAATTTATTTTTTATATTTCAGTTTAATTTAGTTTATTTTTGAAATAGTTTAGTTTAATTTTTTTTACAAATATATATATTACAGTTTAGTTCATTTTTTTTTTTCCCAACAAAGCAGACACCACCATATGATTGCCACCATCAACAGCTTTCTTCCATTTTCAATTATTTGAAAAAAGAAACCTAATTAATTTTCTTGTCCCGTTCAATTAATGGGTGTAGAGGTTGAGATTTGGAACCTTGTTGAACTCAGAGCAAGTTTGTAAAGGCTATGCTTGCATAATCATCCTTCCTATCTCACCGTTGACCGCTTACCCTTTTTTTCTCAGAGAAACCTCTCATGGAAGCAAAGTTACTCAAGTCATTATGTATTTTTATCTAAATTTTCGTCATATTTCACACCAACACGGAATGATTTTTCTCTAACATAAATTTCATCCTCTGAATATATCCTAGTGAAATAGATTTATCCCCATCTTTTCCTATTTTCCCTCAAAACAAAGGTAAAAGTACTCTTAAGTGCTTTAAGATGGAATAACTACATGCCAATATTAATTATCAAGATCAAGACCGAGACCGTTTCAACTACTTCTAGTAATAATGGCTAGAGTAACTAAAGGGCATGTAAAAATGGAAATTGACTATTTAGCAGTATTCACGTGTTGGTCTTCTTTTCATGAGAAACGTATTATATGATTTATACAATATTTTTATATATATATAATTATTAGAAAAGAGATGATAACAAAAATATAATGTGAAACAAAATAAAGAAAGAAAATAAATTTTAAAAGCGTCGAAGTTTATGGGATCTTCCCCTAAGCTAGTAAAGGTTTCGTGATTCGTGGGATTACTGCTAACGACTAATCAGGAATGCATACTCAAAGTAGAACACAGGTGTATAAGGCGTTTTTTGTTAGAATAACTTGAATAGTCACTATAAATATCTCGAATATTTCCAACTTGAATAGTCGCTATAAATAATCCTCCATACCCGTACATGAATAAAAGAGATAAGACAAAAAAGTAAAATATAAAATAGAGAGAAATTTTTTTTAATATTAAACTATGATAAAATAGGTCCTCCTATGAGAATAAAATGACTCCCTGTAATTATCAACCAATGTTATTTTTTCCTTATTGATTAAAAGAAATTGAAAATGAAAAAACATAATCTTGCCAACTTAAAAATACATAAATTCAATTCAATCTATCTTACCATTTTATTTAATTAATTTATTTTACAGGACGAAAGAGCGAAATAGAAGAGTTAGATTCTTAAACATTTTGGTAATTCCCCAACTATATTGTTCAATATTTTCTCATCCTTTGGATGATCCCACAGTACAAACGATCATCCTTCTTAGTCCAAACCAAAGAACAGAATTGGCATAATGAGCTTTAGATTGAAGGTGATTTCAATTATATATTGATATATACTCCATATATAAAATTACAAACTAAACATGGGTGTCTCAAGGGGCTGATTTACCCCTTATTGACACAGTAATTGTTTCTACAAGTCTTATAATTTCCAATAATCTTTTGTTGATGATCTTCCCAGAATTACAATGGACTAAAATAGCTGCTACTTGATAACAATATTCCACAAAATCAAAGTTCCCATTTTAGGTTGAAGGCAGTTAACGAGTATTTGTCTTCAATTAATTAATTCTTTGTGTTGTTGACCCTGATCCCTCTTCAAATCAACCACCACCACACTGACATTGTCGGAACTCTGCCTGACGAGCGCCAACTTGGTCAACAGAATGGAGGCGTCGGAGCAGGCCTTATCGGAGCAGTCCTCCACCAAGTCTCTCTCCGGAGACCCCTTCTGCGCGTTAAGACACATCCGCACCACCTTGCAAGCGGTGTCGTTTTGCACCGTGTCCCAAAGCCCATCACTCCCCAGTATCAGACACTCATCCACCCAACTCCGCTCCGTCACCGTTACCTCCGGTTCCGAAATTACATACGGCTTCAGATAGTTGTCCCCTGCACGCACACACACGACAATAATAATTCAGGACCCTCCACTAGGTATTCTTGAATAATTAAATTAAAAAATTAAAAGATACTAGAAAAGTTGGTTATCTTATTTATACTATACCTATGGCTCTGGACATGGCCAACACTCCAAGCACTCTAGGCCCATCCCAATATATCACGCGCCCTCCCGCGCCTTCGATCCGAACCAACTCGTCCGCACGATCCGGCTAAGCAAAATTCAAACCCAACCAAAACCAAAAAGGTTAGTGCACATGCCCAACACGCACCCACAACACACAAACCATGAAACCAACCAACTTTTTCCCTCCACTTCCCTAAGTGGAGTCACCACAATGAAACAAAATCACGCGCGCGTGTACTCAACGCGCCAACCACATCAATTCAGATCCCAAACCAATAAACCAAAAATTCTTGATTACCTTGTGGTCGTCCGAGAGTGGAACGGCGACGTTGTTCCGGCACAGCACGGCGCGTGAGTCGCCGCAGTTGGCGACGATGATCTTGTCCGGCGTGACGACGGCCACGACCGCGGTGGAGCCGACGGCGTCGCAGTGCGGAGTCTGAAGCTCGCACCTGCAAGTGGGAGCTTCCTTGCTCTTGCTCCACCTCTGCACCTCTTCGTCCATGCGAGCGAAACACTTCTTCATCGTGATTTCCCAGTCCAAATCCTCTTTCGCTTTCTCAACCTCCTCCTTCACTATCTCGTGTAATCTCTCCTTGCACATAGTCGCCACCTATGAAACAAAGAGGTAACTAATTAAGAAACCAGATCCACCACCGCCTAAAGGAAAAACAAAACAGATTTCATATTTTTAATTATTAATTTATTTACATGCGAGCATCCGTGACCGTCGAAAACAGCGAAGAAATGAAACCCTTTCTGATCCTGAGAACGATTTTCGAGGCAAAACGAGGGATGCACCGAAACGGCGTCTTCCATGTCCCTCCTCCGACCACAAACCGAGGTTACCCCATACCTCGGGCACTCCTCGACAAACGCAGGAATCTTCGAAGTATTCGGAAGTGAAACTGCCTCGACTACTCCCTTGGATTCGGAACTCTCCACGGCGTTTTGGCACTCCCGCGGCTGCGCCGGAGAACCGCTGGCGTCCAGCTTCTGGCGCTTGCGGGTGTTCTCCGGCGGCGGGATTGGGACGTCAGCTATGTACTTGAAAGGCAGGAGGTCTATACTCCGGCGAGCGGAAGGGCGTGAGGTAGGCTCGATCGGAGAGGGAGTCTCTCCGGCCTCTCCAACAACACGACAGCAAATCCCAGCCATTAGGACACAAAAATAAGAATTAAGAAAAGTTGAAAGGTGGAAAAGGGGGAAAATTAATTGGAAACAAGTAAGGAAGGTTATGATATAGGAAACGCAGGATCCATTGAAATGGAGTTGTGGGAGAAGCTTTTGTAGAGGGAGAAGAGAGAAGTGGGGGCCACACAGCCTGCCCGTCACCGTCACGGGCATCACCCGACACATACAGTTGGAATGACGTCGAACCATTTAACACCAAGATGCAATCTCAGCCCTTCACCGGGGCGCTACCTCCTTCTGATTCCAACACGTGGAGGTTTGTTTTCTGATCCCACACGTGGCCCAATGAAAGGTCTCCACGGTAGGTCGAGAGTTGTTCCTTTTCTGACACGCATGTGGTCCTTGAGCAACACTCACCCGCTGGCTAAATAGTTTTTAGTTTTTACTCTCGGGAGGATGAGACCACGTGGCGACATCTGAGAGTGAGAAGAAAAGGCCTGAGATATTTGAATTGGAATGCGTTGAGTTTAGTAAATGGAGGAGGGAGAATTAATAATTGTGGAATGAAAAAGGTGTACGTGTAGGATAGCATGTCAAAGGTGATTGACGCTTGCACCAAAATCAGAAAGGGGACGCGTGGCGAATACTTACGTGGAGCCTCCTTCCTTCTTTTACTTTCCCTACGACACGTTCTCCTTTCCGCCACCTCGCATAGGCTCCTCTTTAAATAATCTACTACTCATTCATTCTAATTTCTAACTTTTTTCAAATATTTTCTTCTTAATTCATTTATTATATAATATTTTCTTTACAACAAACAATTCTACTTAAACTCACTAAAGTAGTTTATAAACTATTTTTTATTCAAGTTTTTAATATATATATATATATATGTGTGTAAATTCAAAATTGTTAATTGATTTAAAATAATTACGCACCACTTAATCACGCCTTAAGTAACAAAATAACTTTATTTGACTAAAATTTTCATATTAACTACATTATACAGTTATTTCACAAAGATATTATTGTAAATGAATTATGTTCATGGAAAAAAATTTGTAGAACTTTCAAACCATCATTAAAGAAAAACTAGAGACAGTTTTATTAACTCAAGATCTAATTATAAAATTGTAAAAGATAAAAATTTAGTTACAATTTTTTTTTATAGAAACTTAACTAAAAATCCTAACAAAAATAAGAAATTAATTATGTATTAAAATAGAAACATATTTTTAAAAAAATTAATAAATTGTGACATAAAATATAGTATATTAAGGTATTAGTTAAAAAAATATTCTTTAATAAAGTGCTTGATAAGGGAGAAGGTTTTTTATAAATCATGATTTCTAAAAATTATAAATTCTAGAAATTATGATTTTTAAAAATAGTTAAAATTTGTTTGGTTACTCATAATTTTTTTTTAAATATTTATATAGGATTCTCGGGAATTAAATATTTTTATATTTGGTTACAACGGTATCTTTATGTGTATATAAGTATTATTTATAAAAATGTCATTAATTAAAATAAGTTCGTTAAATATTTTTTTTTACTCAAATCTTATTAAAAATATGATGTGAAACTTTTTTTATCATCTAATTATTTTTTAAAGATAATAAAAAATTAATTACATATATAAATAATTTTTTTTATAAAATAATATTTCCATTTGATAAAACTTAAACTATGTTAAAAATTTAAAAATTTATAGTTAAAAGTATAACGACCCGCCGTGGTCCCTACACTTAGTGAAATCACACTATTCATAATAAACTAAGATGAATAATGAAATTGGATAACTCATCAATATAAACATACGAAAAATATATGAGAATCATTTGTGTCGGTCAAACATAACAACTGTTACTCAAAATGGTAACTCTGATTCTAGAAACCAAAACAAAATTCTACTTCTAGCAGCGGACGCAGCCGACAGCTCCAACCTAGCCCTGATCTGTTCCCATACACAGTATGATCATGGCAGTCCATTCACATAGAAACAGAAGGGTAAGCTAGAGTTCAATAAACAATCATACAAGTATAAGATAATACTATACTACTCGGACATCCAATCATCATCACAACGCAACCACACAGTTCAACATAAAAACTCAACTCATTCATACAACTTAGAAGCAACTTTAACACAACAACAACATACAACTTAAAATTTAAGGCATCATCACACATATACAACTAGGAGATCTCCAACAACTGAGGTTGAGCAATCTAGGTGGCATAAACCCTACCGAATCCAACATTTGACCTATCTGGACCAGGTCAGGTATAGAACATCGTGAGGAACTCCGAAGAGAACCAGGTATAGACCCTAATAGGCGATTTCTCAGGTGTGCCACTTAGACTCGGAGGTCCAGTACTACTGTCAGGACAGAAGGGTTTGGGTACGAGCCTACCACGGCCTTGACCTGCATCACCAATCCACATATGGAGTTAGCCCACCCACTATCCTCTAAGTACCATGCACCCTCCAGTACATAGTCAAAGACTACATCTCTAACTAGATACCTTACTCAAATTGGTCATTCAACCATGACATGGATCGACTACTTCCACATCACTCACACAGTACTAAGGGATTCAACTTTAAAACAACTTTTAACTTATCACCTTAGTACTATGTATCTCAACATAGGACATATATCTTCACCATATGTCCCCAACTTTTCAACTTTACAATAATGCGAAAATAGGCATCTTACAACAATAGCCAATTTACAACAATACAACAATAGACATCTTACAACAATAAGCAACTTACAACAACAGAATAATAGACATTTTACAGCAATAGGCAACTTACAGCAATACAACAATAAACATCTTATATACCAGCTTGACAACTTTCTATTCAACTATACCACTATACAACTTTAATAATTTTAACAACATGTGAACAACTTAATTCCATCAATTACGCAACATATAAGCTTCATACAGTTCAAAAATGAACTCAGATTCAACAAACAACAAATCAACTCATTAAAATCATCAAAAACCCCATTTTTCCCAAAACCCTAAAAATGAGGAATTTCTTTAATTCAACCACTTCTCAAAATCATACATCAATGGAGTTTCCAATTCTCTTGAAATTAAACAACCTACATTCTAGCTTCCCTCACCTGAAAGTTGGCTCTGAAAAGCCAAGAGTTGAGAAGAAGGAGAAGAAGAAGAAATATCTGAGCTCGACTCTTGAACTTTAATCCTCCAAAAGTAAGCTTTCTAGTATGAAATTCAAGGGAAGACAGAAGAATTAGTGACTTAGAGGAGAAGAAGAATTATACAGATAAAGTTGAGAGAGAAACGAGCTCACAGACCCGTAGTCCTTTTCCCTATAACCTCTTTCTAAAACCTCGCCTCCTCAACTGCACATAGGTCCTATTTATAGAAATTCAGGAGTGGCTAGAACGGCCCGTTTCAAACCCGGAACGGCCCGTTCTCAAACCAGAACGGCCCGTTCTAGGGTTGCATTTTTACTCATAACAGCCAACTTGGAACGGCCCGTTCTCAACTAGGGTTTTTAAGCCAATTTAGTAGTTTGGAACGGTCCGTTCCAGTTTGGGAATGGCCCGTTTTGGGCTACTAAATTACCCTTGTTTTAGTAGTTTGGAATGACCCATTCTAAGCTACTAACTATGTTACAAAAATTATTAAAATATTGCATTCAAGGAAAAAAAACAAAGAAAATTGTTACCTTATAATAAAAAAAATAAAAAAATATTATTTTATTTCATTCAAAATAGATAACACATATTTTAATAATATTATTAAAATTAATAAAATTAAAAAATAATGAGATAAAAAAATAGAGATATAAGAGGAAGTGGGAGAGAGAGCAAGAGAGGGAGAAGGAGAAAGAAAGAGTGAGAGAAGGGATGTGTTTGGTTCACACACAGACACAGACACACACACACACACACATATATATATATATATATATATATATATATATATAACAATATTAACATTATTTATTAAAATAATTAAATATAAAGATAATTAGTATTGTATTTTATGTTTTACAGAAAAAATAAATAAAAAAAATAAAATCAATACAATTTATCTTAAAGAATAACAATCATAACATTCTTTTTAAGATTTGTGATGATTTTTTCACATTTGATTTGCAATAATTTTTCGAACTTGTGTCATTTCAACAACTTGACCAACATCCACACTAACACCTTGATTTGTTTTAAACCTTGTTCATTCATAATTATTTGTTTTCTAACATATCGGTCAAAAAGTCTATTTATACTATGTATTCTAATAAAATTATGTATAGTGCAGCAAACAAAAGTCACAAGAAAATAGGCACATAAAATTGAAATAAAAATATTATAATTTACAATCAAATCATCACATTTTAGTTTCAAGAAAATAGAAAAATAATAATTACTTTTGACCTACATCACAGTTTAAATATTTATAATTAAAATAGCTATATAAATAAATTTTATATAATTTATTTAATTTTAGTTAATTATATTTAGACCAAATACTTTTATTGGATATCATATTTTATAACTTATTAAAAATAATATTATGAGTAAAAAAATTATATTAGATTAGAAAATATATTTTTTAATATAAATGTTGATGCAACATAAGAAAATTTTGCAACTCACATGTATATTTTAATGCTATGCCAAATTGTCAATAGAAAGCGTATACGAATGTCATAAAAATTTCCAAAAGCTAAAGGAAGTTACTGGGTTGTATAACCAAAAGTTTTCATAAAATTCTCCAAAAATCAAAGGAAGTTACATTGATTTGTGTTCATAGAAAAAAAAAATAACAGGTTACGTTTATTTACATGTGAGGCATCGCGTTTCTAATTTTAGTTTCATTTTCTTTAAAAATTCATAAAACGACAATATTTTGTTTTCAAATTCGTACTGATTTTGAAAATATATTCGAAGAAAACATTTTCTATACAATAACAACTAAATGTATTTTTACTACAAAATTTCATTTTCAGTGAAAATGAAAATATAAATTAGACATATCAATCAGGTTTTAATATTTATTTGAATTTTTTTTAATAAAAAATAGATACCAATTATGAGAAACTAATATTCTCAATCTAAAATTTTCAACAAACAACAATTTTT